GACGTACAGGCGCTTCTTTCACGCTACAAAGAGGATAATCTTTAAAATACTGATCATCTGGTCTCGAACTTGTGGTACATTCCAGTTGCATCCTCAGTTATCAAGGAGAAAAAAAGACGCTCTTGACCATTCATTCTAGTGGTTGGGCCAGTTTTTTTCTGCCTCAAAGAATCGAATGGTCAAATGAGCGTGTTGGCTGAATACTGGCGTGATGACCTTCTCATCTTGTCGACTGCTTCTTCGTCATGAGCTCTTCTACTTTTGGACAGTTGGTCCGATCAAGGAGATAGGAAAAAGTATTTATGAGAAAGCTAAGGATTATCAACAAATGAAAATTCCTCCAAAGACAACTGCCATAATTCAACCTCTTGACGTTTTCTTCTACCATAAATACAAGGTCATTGCCCATCGTATCTATGATCGTGTCCTTCTTGACAATATTGATATCCAAATGACTCAACGGAACAATCTCATCAAACTCCATTCGCTCATCCATAAGCAAGTCTCGACTCTCGTCTATGAGCCAGTGATTCGTTTTGCGACTCGCTTTCATTCATACAATGTAGCTACTGCAGTAAAATCCTCTGTTTAGATCATTTCTTCTTGGAATACCACATGCACTAAGCAGTATCAGTCAATGAGAGCAGTCCTTCTGATCGATCTTTTCTTCTTTTCTCCTTTTTATATGTTATTCAAGAAAAATAAAACACGTACTACTGATAATGAAAACTTTATAGCTGCACCGAGAAGAGTTTAAATGAGCTCAAACTTTCATTGAAGTATGGCCATTATGACCAGTGATCACAGTAAAAATATCACATCTATCAAACTTTGTTTGACTGAGAAATCATAGGTTTAGGACCAAAATCGTGTTTTTTGAACAAAACTTGAAATAGGCATAACTCTATCCCAAAGCACCATGGGCACATACCAACTTAGGGTATTTCACTACTCACTGCGGTATAAAAGATGCAAGTAGTCCCAGTTCAAAAGCTATTTATAACCTTAAGAAGTTCTTTCCTAAGTTGTACACAGCCAATGAACATCCTGTTTACTATTATCTTGCTTTTGTCGAGTATCAACGGAGCGATGCATTTGGACACACTCAATATGTGACAACTGCAGTTTTCTGCAAGAAAAATCACATCATTTAGGCTCTTATTTTTACAGGTTAAAATCACAAATGAGAATCCGAAGCTACATCACTGGATTTCTCTGCATGCTACATGGTTCGGATTGATTTTGATTAGAATAACGTATATTCTGCACATGACTCCAATCTACTGTAAGAGTGCGACATCATAGTGACATAATGTTCATGCATAAAAACAATGTGCCAGTTAGTTTCATATAAGAATATGCTTTGGTTCGCCAATGTGCGTCGGGAAACATTACATGTAGGTACTTGACTATGCAACTCCATAAATGTGAAATTCATTCCTTCAACTAATTCTACTCTTGATAACAGGTTGACACTAATAAAACGAATCGGTGCAAAATTCAGTTGAGTATCGGCAAGTGTTGCTTTAAAGAGCTACAGAAAGCTGAAAGTAACCGAAAATGTGTACTTAGAATGACTTTTGCAGCAGAAATCCATGTTTGACTAATCAATTGAGAAGAGCACACCTGGTGTAGGAAAGGTTCTTGCAGTGAAGCCAATGTTGAATATTAAAATGATACCGGATAATCATATGCCAGTCATGAGAATGAAGATATGTGCAGTAAGATTCTCGTCATGACGGAGACGACTATTAGTGATTGAGTCAGCACTTTGAAATAGGTTTAATTCTGTAGCATTGCGGCCCAGGTGAGCGAACAGGGTGCAGGTGTGGGTGTTCTTCTTCTGTCAGTCACACCAATACTTATATACGCCCACACTCTAATAAACATTGAATTTTACGAAAAAAAGGGTGTAGGTGTGGGTGTGAGTATTTACGGAGAGATAGCCCACACCCCTTTTTGTGAAAGACAAGCTTTTTGTCTAAAACTAATATTGTCCTTTGTTTCAACTATGGAAATTATGTTTTGCTAGACTCTTTATTTCAAACAACCGGAATCATCCCATGCCCAACTCAATGATTTGATGAATGGACTTTTTAGTGGTAATGCCGGGTACTCAATCTCTTTGGCGTTTGTTTTTTCGACCATTGTCCAAGAACATTCTGAGTTAGTCACATCAGTTCAAGTCGATCATTGATTCGCTTCGATAAAAGCTGGTTCAAACACTTCGGATGAACTTATTTATATTTTTAAAGCCTAAGCTATGTTGCTAATGTACAACCACATGTTTTTCATAAACATCGTGACCAATTCTTACGTCTTGCTTTTAAAGAACAAAATGTATCGGCTTTCGAATATCTTCAATAGTATTTTGTTGCATCGATTATTGTTGGTGACGAAAACACAACCAACGAATGTTTCACAATTCTAATCAATCTTCTCAAAAAAAAAATACTAATATTTTTAATGACACAATCCTTCGAATACTCTAAACTCTAATACGTATGTTTGACATCAACGAATAGTTCTTCAAGTAATAAAAACCAAATTGGAGTGAACAAAAGACAAATTCATCATCTTATTATCTAGAGCACTGATAATAATGTTTTTACCACTGATATTAACATTTATTATTACTAATTGAAATCACCCGAAAATAGAATATATCAAAATAATTCTTTTCTTGATCTGTTAGTATCTACTAGATTACTTTATTAGTATTAAATATTCTGTAAAGAATTCATTTAGAGATAAACGACATAAGTACTTTGATAACGTTCTTTACGAAACCATATACAAAAACTTTTATATACTATGTTTCTCTGTCTTTTTGTTTTGTAAAATAATCGACAATTTTTGAACACAGGTGACTTACAATATAAATTTAATCAATACCTTGTTTCCATCGATATCAATAATAAGTTCATAATCAACATTTTCTTTGAGTTGAAATTTTTGTTGATTTTTATCATTATTTTCTTTCATTTTTTAACAGCAATCGTTAAGTGATTCGATCAAATTTTGTTTAATTTTTGCTTCAGTTTTGAAATTAATATTCAATGATGAAGAGGTATTTATCGATGTCTCACCAATGCCGTCTACAAAACTATTAGAATTATTAGTTACTAAAGTATTTGTAGATGGACTATTTGTTACAACACTATTTGAAAATATTTTTGATGCTTTTTTTAACAAATTGCATTTTGTCATTAATGCATTTCTTAAAAGATTCATTTTGTTTCTTATTCCGGGTAAAATGATAAACGAATTATTATTCAATTTCACACACATTTTCTTTTTTCAATCAAGTAAATCATTTGAGTCAAGTGATCAAATTTCTAAAGGATCATCACAAGCAAGTAGGCACTCAACATTAGTAATATCTTGAAATTTAAGGAGAAAACCATCTTCTCACCGGAAAATTGTTTGACAAATTCGAAAAATTCTGTTTTTAAATTTCATGTATAGAACGATGTACAATGAGTGATTCATGCATTATTCGATATAATGTTGAATGTGAATATTAACCAAATATAATTTACTTACGAAAAATCATTTCCAAAATTTATCGTTAGTTCACTATTCTTTTTTTTGACAAAGTCAATAGAAAGGGTAGTAGAAGTTGATACTCTTGTATTTCTTTTATTGAGTATTTGAAATTCTGAGAAGTTGACACATATATTTAGAAACGCTGATTTCGACTTGATTTCAGTTTTTGAAATCAGTTTGTTCCCCCTTGATTTAGTATCAATAAATCCCATGTTCGACGCGCTTAAATTTGGTATAAAACTTTTTATGGATGTTATTTGAAATAATAGCATTACTTCCCTGGACAAATATTTTTACACATCCTCTAGGTCTGTTCTATTATATTTAGTCATAAAAAAATTGACATTTTTACGAATGCTTAGATGCTATGCATTCGTCATGCTGATCATACTTTATATTGCATAATATCAAGTCACCTTTTGTGTGTTTATAATCGGTGAGGATGACAAGAACAAAAAGAATATTATATTTTTGTTTCTTTTATCTTTCTTCAGACATCTTTGTAGCTATAAAGGTAACAAAGTGTCACGGCCATTGGCCATGATACATCTTCAATATTGTTCCGTTGTGTCTCTTCTTACGGTATTTAAAGAACATTTTCTTTCTCCTTTCTTTTCTCTTCGACTCATCCCTTTGAAAAGTAAATATCATCGGCATGTTATTGCATGGGAGGAGAACGGTATGTTTCGAAGAGATAAATACAATGTTCTTTTCTTAGTATGAGTGTTTTGTTGGTTTTTTTTGTTTGTTAGGATTAAGAATAATATTTAAGAATAAAAAAGAGCGCCTGTAAAGAATCAACACAAAGACAGCCATATTATGCTACTTTTTTCATTTGGTATGGGTCGGTTTCCATCTATGAGGATGGGAGTGTTGCCTTCTTCTCTCATCGTTCTTGTTTTATTCATGACAATTGATGCGAATGCAAACTATACTAGATCGTACGCAAATCATCAGCTGTGGCGTTTGCATGTCACTAACAACGAACAAGTTGCTAAAATACTCGCTTTCAGTCGAATAGCCCACTTGCATGATATCAACTTTTGGTCAGAACACATTAGCATCCATGAATCAGTAAGACCTTACTCAAACATGTTTCTCTTCATTACAATGGACGACATTTTTTTCTCAAATAGATTGATGTTCGTGTCCCACCTCAAGCAATCGATAATTTCTCTGATTTCTTGACTTCGGACGGTGTGAAAATCAAGCACGTGGTTCATATGGCTGATATTGGTGCAATAATTGAAAGACAACGAGTTTTACAAAATCTGTATCGATCATCATCGAATGCGAATGATTTTGCGTACGATAAATATCACACGATTGAAGAGATTCATGAATGAGTTGATCAAATCGTTGCGACTTATCCGAACATAGTCACGCCATTTACCGTCGGGAAATCATATGAAAATAGAGATATGAAAGGCTTCAAAATTTCATCCAAGAAGATGGTAACAAAGCGCGACGGTACCAAAGTCACCACAAAAAAGGCTGTTTGGTGGGACGGAGGTATGTGGTTCTTAGTCTTTTTTTAAAGTCACGTTTATTTTCGACTGTATCCTTATGTAATGCAGGAATTCACGCTCGAGAGTGGATCAGTCCGGCAACAGTCATTTACATTGCCAATACTCTTCTGTCGAAGTATGGCCAAGACTCGACAATCACGCATCTAATTGACCAATTTGATTATTATATTTTGCCTGTATTCAACGTTGATGGCTATGCATATACATGGACAAAAGGTAATAGTTAACATCAAAGAAGAATTTTCCTATTAAAATTTTGTTATTTTTTTTCCTCAAGATCGATTATGGCGTAAAACTCGCAGCAAAACATCGGCTCCACTCTGTTATGGTGCTGATCCGAACCGTAATTGGGATTATGATTGGTGTGAAAGTGAGTTGGTCATTGGCTCATTGTGATGCCTTCGTTTTCGCACAACTAATTCTAGGAGGTGCTTCGTCTGATCCTTGTTCAGACACTTTCTGTGGCGAAAAAGCATTTTCTGAAATTGAAACAGCTCAAGTAGCTAAATTCATCGCTAATCAACAGGGTACACTTGTGCACTATATCAATTTTCATTCGTACTCACAATTGTGGATGTCACCATGGTGTAAGTTTCGAATGTGAAGTTCGATCTCATCTTCCAATTTTTCTCTCTAGCTTATACAACTCTTAGACCACTACAATTCGAATTACAAGATGATGGATCTATCCAAGCTATCAATGCACTCACCGCTGTGCATGGTTCGTCTAATGTGAAATACTCATTGTTTCAGAATAATTTTTGTTTTAATATTAAAGGCACTCAGTATCAGCATGACACTATTGCTCAAATTATCTACGCTACATCGGGTAGTACAGTCGATTGGACCTATGGCATAGCCAATGTGACATTTAGCTATGGTGTCGAACTTCGTGATACTGGTAAGTGTAATTATTCAAGTTTAACGGACTGCTATCGAATCCTTGTTCAATAGGTAAATATGGGTTTTTACTTCCCGAAAATCAAATCATTCCAAGTGGTGAAGAAACATTGGCTGGTCTAGTAGCCTTACTTCAGTACATCGAAAAACAAGTGTATGCTTGAGATGATAAACTATTAGAAATCAACATATCTTTCAAATCGTTCCTTTTAATATGGTGTGTTACTGGACTTGTCAAAAGTTTTGCAAAATCTTTTCTTTAGAAAATATTTGAGCTGACAAATCACATATGTTCCTAAGTGTTCTCTCAAAAGATGCAACATTTAATTCTCTAGAAACTTCCATTAACCTTAATCTAAACCAATAAATTCGAAAATTTGGATAGGTTGCATTTTTGGGTCAATGAATAGAAATAACTTTCCATCCATTCCCAAGAAAAAAATGATTTTCATGAAAAATGTTTTGTACATTTTCCCCCAACGACTGTCCCGTAGTTCGGCACTGAATGATTGAAAACCTGTCGAGAGTCAAAACTGCGAAACAAAATTCAGGACTATCGAACGTTACCGTCGTACAGAAAAGAAAAGTACATGAGTCACCGACTAATGTCTCCTCTCCAGTGCATCCTAGAGCTCACAATGCACATTCTACGTACAAGAAACGGCCATTTACTGGTCCACCGTGTGAGGCTTGTCGTTGTTCACCGAATAAACAACTTCTAATTCCAACAAAGATGTAAACGATAATTACCAAGTCATGCATAATTTATTCTTCTTAGGATGTGGGCGTAGGAATGGGTGAGTTGAATACTCGTACGCATACGTATCAACACCCTTCTCTACTTGCAAAATGCAGTAAGAGCACAGAGTATGCAGTCAAAAAAGATGCATCAAATTGAGTCTGCTATTGCCTTTTATGATGAGAATATCAGCTGTGAGAAATCTTTAATAAATGTTCCTGATACTGTGCTGATCTGAATCCAACAACAACTGCAAATATTTATTATAAAAAATGTATCAGTAAAGAATACTTTGTACAAGATACTGATTTAGAATAATTAACGATGAAAGCTTTTTTTATAGAAGAATGGAACATATTCCGAATGTTGATGACATTTTAATGAACTCTTTACTCCACAAAGCAATTCTAGAGGAGTGGCAGATGAAACAATAATCGAAATAGAGTATTGTTGTCTGCAATATATCAAGAGTATGGATGTATCGATCGATCAGGTACACTCTCGTTCGTGACGACAGTTTAGTCACACGAGTTACTATTGTATAAGAACAACAGCTTAGCACAAATTCTGTTGGAAGTCTTTCATAAAAATGATGTGGTTTAACCAAGAAATATTGTAGAGAACTCAGCAACATTTCATTTTGTAGAAAATTGTTTGTTCTATCATCACGTGTTGCAAGAACAAATTTTACACGCAATTCATAGGTACTAAGAAACTCCTTATCAATTGTTTTGTATCTGAAGATCTATTATCTATCTAGGTTTCCTGAAACTTTCCATTGGAACATAATAACGTTTCAAGTGAATTGAAACAAAGTAGACTTCATAACTATAAATATTTATAAATTTACACAAAACTCAAACGATCTGCTGCATAAAAAACATTAATGCAAGCTCCTAAAATATTCTATCATGTCTTGCAGTTCTTTCTAGAAAAAATATTTTTGCATCTAGCTAAGAAAAGTTTTTGAATGTTTTTGACCGCTATAGATCATCAAACTCATGAAAGCTCTTCAATAAAGCGATGATTATCTGGTTTTATTAGAAACTCATGAACTCGCGCTGAGTTTTCCAAAAATAGCAGAGAAATATTTTCGAGCTCATTAATTATCCAAAATGATGATAAAACTCGCGTATTGGGTGTGGGTGTGGGGTGTTTCTCACTTTGACATTCACATCCACACCCACCCTTGTTGGATGTTAAAACATGAAAACCGGCTTTTTTTTACGTAGGTGAAGTTAGCACCAGATTCGAGTAAATCCTGCCAAGATTCGCCCAGAAACATGTTCCAACTGTCCTACAGTGTGTTCCAAGTACAACTCGATGAGGTCTATCGAATGGTATATTCCGATTCCCGATAGCTCACACCAAGTCGAAGAAAATCAGAAAATGCTAGATTTCCACCATGGGCGATTTTGCATCCATCTACTAAAACCCGCCAAGATTCGCCTAGGAGCATGTTCCAAGTGTTCCATTCGTGTTCCAAGTACAACTTCACGTGCTCTATCGAATGGTGTGTTCGGATTTTCCATAACTCACACTGAGTCTGAGAAAATTTAAAAATACTAGTGTATCAGCGCAAAAATCCTTGATTTTATGGAATAAAACCTGCGAAGATTCGCCCAAGAGCATGTTCCCAAGGTTTCATTCGTGTTCCAAGTACAACTCGATGAGCTCTATCGAATGATATATTCAGATTTTCCATAGCTGGAACCATGTCGCAGGAAATTTAAATATGTTGCTGGATCAATACAAGAAGTTGGTGTTCTCTATGTTGAAACCTGCGAAGATTCGTCAATGAGCGTGTTCCAAATGTTCCATTGGCGTTCCAAACACAACTCGAAGAGTTTTATCGAATGATGTGTTTCGATACTCTCTATGTCAGAATGCGTCTGAAAAAATGGAAAATGCTGACGTGTCAGCAGAGTGAATCTTTTGTTCTGCAGAATAAAACTTGTGAGGAGTCTTCCCGAAAGATGTTCCAGATGATCCACTTTTTTGTCGTCGAATTATTTTGGTTTTTTATAAATGGTTTGCTTATCTACCCTTGTGGACATCTTTGCTTACCGAATTTGAGGAACGATATTCTAGTGATCGAACATCAGTTGATATTAGCACATATGAACAAGGTCGTCTGTCAAACGCTCAAATAGAATCATATTTTGGTGTCCTAAAAGATTCTATACTTGAAAAGAGAACTAACCTGCGGCCAGCAGAGGTGATCGTATCACTTTATCGAAATGTTCAGATTCAGTTAAAAGCAGATAAATTCGGAGTTTATCAAAATGTAAAAAACCGAAAAGGAAAACCTAAAGATATGAATGTAGTGGAGCCTTGGGCTAAGAAGAAAGCTCAGAAAAGACTACGAAATACATATTTAAATCGAATTGATAAATATAACCAGAAGCGACTTGTATCGAAGCCAATTAGTCATACACCAAAAACTAATTTTTCTAATAAGCCGTCTTTGATTTCTAGTGACTTAAAGCACAAGACAAACGATGCTTTGAATGACATATCTAATGTCAAATTATTGCAAAGTTCACCTGATTCGTCATCATCAAAATGTGTAAATTCTTTTACGAAAGAACATCCTCCAAACGATGAAATTCATTTAAGGAATGAACAGGAGATTCCAATTTCTGATTCAACAATTTCTCCAGTTAATATATTTTCATGTGTAAAATTTGATAACATCTCCGACGCCTTATCAACCTCAGAACAAGCAAAAAATGTATTGAAAGCTGAAAATATAGAGAAAGAAAATTCTAAAAGTCAACATGAAAAAAAAACATTACATAAAAAAAGGTATTTCGTTAAAAGATCCCTCATTTCCATTGATATTTACACATATACTTTTTATATTAGAAACTGAAGAGAATATGCGTTTACGACTATCTGGACTACCTGAAGCTTCTGATACATGTAATTCATTACTTGCACCTCGACTTCGTCGAATCGTCGAGATCCAACAATGTTCTCTAGCATGGCCCGCTTTTGGCATCAAGAAAACAATATTTGAAGGTATAACTTCATTTTTGCTGTCTGTTAACCTCTAAAAAACATTGAATATTTTTAGGTCATACATATTCAGTCACAAATACCTGTAGTATGGATTCTCCACTTTTCGCTCTTTATTTTATCTTTCGAACAGAGCCAAGCATCAATGAAATAATCTTAAATTCTGAAAACGAACCGTTCAGTTCACTTCGAGAGACTTTCTTATTAGTTGAATCAGACGGATGGGACCAGGCCAGATTACAATGGCTAATCAGTCACGGTCTCCTAAATCGTAAAGGTGTCAATACAAATGACATCTATGGATCGCTCGACACGAATGTAATACGTTTCATAAAAAACCCTCTTCAACTTCATCAAGCTAAAACTTTTTGTGCTCGTCATACATGTCCACAGCGTGAGCGTACCATTAAAACTACTGATATAGGTGTCGAGTAAGTAATAGATACGATCACTAAATCAAATGATGGGTTAATGAGATAGAATAGTTGCTTGAGTTCAGTTCTTTCAAGTATGGGTTTCAAGATCGGTCATTGAATTTGCTAAAAAAAACTTACAAGCTATTAGTCTTTTTGCTTTTCATGAGCGACTATATCTCATTTATATGAGGAGGTGATTCTTATGTTTTTTTCTGCCATATAACAATTCATCTACTACTGCACTAATGCATTTAAATTCAATATACAATGTTTCAATTATTTTCTTGAAATTTAGATGTTGGGAAACTTCCATTTCAAAATTTGAGTATGAAGATACTTTTCCTTGTACCGCTTTCGTAACCAAATTAGGAGATATTACATATAAAGACGCATTTCGTCTTCGCTATAAGCGATGTAGAACACAGGTAATCAATGTCGATTCAAATACAATGGAATACACGTAAGTTTAATAATATATTCTATTATTCATATTGAAAATGGATATTATAGTGAAGGTTGGCAATGTAATGAAAAAGTAATTATGCAACCAGCTACTTTTGTTAATGGGCAGCCACCATTTCTTTTCGCGGACATTGTTCACCCAATAGCTGAAGATTCAGAGACAAAAAAGTTGAGCGCGGTCAGTCTCAACATCCACGACATTCCACGCAATCTCACGGTTGGTTCATCCACGTAAGTAATAATAATGTCTTCCATTTTAGACTTTTAAAAATTTTAATTCAAAAGATTCTCACAGACTGTAGAAATAAAGAAGATGTACAACTAGTGTTTGTTGCATGTTCACTCACGAGGGACTCTATTCAGCTACCTGACTCTGATTCGCTTCATTTGAACCTCATATGATAGATTATAGTGAAGTGGTCAAAAGCTAAAAATATTATTGGCCACCAACCGTTTCTCCAAGCGCTACAGTCATTCTACTAGAACTTCAGCCTATAGCATGGTATCTACCAAAAACTAGAATGAAGGTGTTTGGAGCCGAGATTTTGTCCACAGATAGGCCTATTTGTAACTAGAATGTCCTGGAAAACTGAAGCCAAAAGATTTTTCCCTTCATGAAGGATCCAGTTTTCAAAAATCACTCATATTCTACGAAGAGATTGGAGGACATCAAGTTTTTTTGAAAACTCAACATCTCATGACGAGAATATTCTTTTGACCTGAATTTTTCACGATATTCTAGTTACAAGTAGGCCTATCTGTGGACAAAATTTCAGCTTCAAATACCTTCATTTCAGTTTTTGGTAGATACTATGATATAGGCTAAGATTCTAGTAAAATGACTATAACACTTTGAGAAAGGGTTGGTGGTTAATAATATTTTTACATTTTAACCACCTCACTATACTCTATCGAATGATCTATAATGAAATGAATCAGAGTTGGGCACCTGAGTAGAATATCTAGTCAGAACGTTTGCTAGTGAGATAAGTTTAACTATATCGAAAGATGATTTGATGGATGATTTATGGGCGTATACACATACTCGCAAAATTGATTGATATAGGTTCTTTTTAATTTGTTCAACTTCACTGGATTAATGAAATGAAGTGACTCTGTGAATTTAACTAACTAACCAGAAAACAGGTTAAAATCAGTTGCACTCTATGTGACTTCTATTTTCATACAATCATGACTAGTTGAAATAGAAGATTTACTGCATATGATAGAAAAAACAAAATTAGAATAGATTTCACAACGAATTTTCCCCTGCAACAAAACAATTCATTGACCTATTTGGTTGGTGTCCATAGTATAAAAGACTTCGGTAAGGCATTTCAGTGTATTGAAAACATGCATACAACATTTGATAGGGCAAGTCAAGTTGTATCTAGGACACAAATGGAACATTTGAAACGTACTTCTCAACGAATTTCGGCTAATTTTACAATATAAGTATCATCGCTACATACTATAGGAGACACCTATTAATAGTTTTTCACGCGTTATCTACAGTATAGTTTGTGGTTTCAACCATCGCAATCTACGAAAGCATGGAGCCTCTTAAACACTCCTTTGAACACGAATGGGACATCTGCAAACATCTTCCTTCACAGATATTAGCTGATTTTACTGTATCAGCGACAAAGTCATGTATAATGGGGTCCATGTTTGCGATTTTTGCGTACACGGTTAGCGGTATTAAACAGCTCAATACACCATCGTATACAGATGTGTGAGCCATCCTAAGCACATAAATGGAACATTTAGCACATGCACCTCGGCGAATCTTGGCTGGTTTTACTGCCTAAAATCTAGAATTTTTGTGGTGATACACTAGTATTTTTAAATTTTCTCAGACTCAGTTTGAGTTATGGAAAATCTAAACACGTCATTCGATAGAGCGCGTCAAGATGTACTTGGAACACGAATGGAACACTTGGAACATGCTCCTAGGTGAATCTTGGCGAGTTTTAGTAGATAGATGCAAAACCGCCCATGGTGAAAATCTAGTATTTTCTGATTTTCTTGGACTTGGTTTGAGCTATCAAAAATCGGAGCGCACCATTCGATAGAGCTCATCGAGTTGTACTTGGAACACCAATGGTACCTTTGGAACATACTCCTGGGCGAATCTTGGCTGGTTTTACTGCCTAAAATCTAGGATTTTTGTGGTGATACACTGGTATTTTTAAATTTTCTCAGACTCAGTGTGAGTTATGGAAAATCCGAACACGCCATTCGATAGAGCACGTGAAGTTGTACTTGGAACACGAATGGAACACTTGGAACATGCTCCTAGGCGAATCTTGGCGGGTTTTAGTAGATGGATGCAAAATCGCCCATGGTGGAAATTATACATGACTTTGTCGCTGATACAGTAAAATCAGCTAATATCTGTGAAGGAAGATGTTTGCAGATGTCCCATTCGTGTTCAAAGGAGTGTTTAAGAGGCTCCATGCTTTCGTAGATTGCGATGGTCGAAACCACAAACTATACTGTAGATAACGCGTGAAAAACTATTAATAGGTGTCTCCTATAGTATGTAGCGATGNAAAAAGTGACCCGTCGAAATTTACAGTCATTGAAAAAAATATGAATAACAATAGAACGAGAAAGTTCACACGAGAAATTTTTCTGTTCTGTTCTGTCCTGTTCCGTCCTGTTCTAATTGCTATCGTTGTCCTGGCGGGCGGCAGGACAGGACAAAAATCAAAATCGTGTCCTGTCCTACAGGACAGGACACCGGGACAGCAGGACCGTCCTGTCCTGTGCTCATCTCTGGTGTGTGTGAAGTGTTGGGTTTGGTTGTAGATTAAGAAAAGAATCACACTCCATATAAGAACATAATGTGACTTTCTAGTTAAGTGACTATTAAAAGCAAGAAGAATCATAGGATAATGCCAGTAAGGCAGATAATGATAGCCTTTTTGTCAAACAAAAAATGCAGGAATTTGAAGCTGAATTGCGAATAACAAGACTGAAGATACCAAAAACAACTATAGTTGCTTGGTTTACTCTCTTCTTGCGGACAATTTTTTCTTACATAAACATCCAGTCTTATCTGCTTTCATATCTTACTGCGGGCACTAAAAATTGATGATATGATATTTTGAAGTCTTGATAAAGATAGGTGTTGGCCAAATTAAGTATTAGATTTGTCATTCGCTGATTCTTTATAGAGATGAAATAATTGCAGACGAAACTTAAAGTATCTTCGCGTCTAAAACATGAAAATTTTATTAATTTTATTCACACTTCTTATTGTATCGATAGTTGATGGCCACCAGTGCCGCGCTAAGTTCAACGAAGATATTATTGGCGAATGCTCATTTGTTAATGGCTGTAACGGGACAATTTTAGCTGGAAATGCTTGTGAAGAGCAACACTGTTGTGTTCCGACAGCAGTTTCACCTTCACAGATGTGTATTAGTGCCAATGATTTCGACATTCTTTATAATAAAAGTCGCGCAAGCTTTCTTCGCAATGTTCTTAACTTCGGAATCAATGCCGCTGAAATCTGTGACAATTGCCAAGCAAAAGCGGCATTCTTGGCAGTAGCAGCGACGATGACAGAGAATTTTCAAGCCGATGAAGCAACGAGCACCGATGTCGAATTTGCTGCCGATGACAACAAGTATGGAAACACACAGACAGGCGAGGGATCTTTTTATCGTCGACGCGGTTTCTTTGGCCTTCGTGGAAAAACAATGTATCAAAGATTACAAACATTGCAACCACAATTTCAAAGTTTAACTAATCCAGAATTAGCAGCCTTGGTAGAAAATTCCATCATAATTGCCTCAGAACTCTGGAAGAATCCTGATTTATTGAACGGTAAGTTTACGTGTATGCATCCAGAAATGAAACACATCTAAAACTTGATCATTATTGTAACTCATAACAAAATTATTCCCCGAGAAATTCGATGATAATGGATTTTAAGACCACGGTTCAAATTCGGTTGAAATCCTTTTTTTTCAGGATAGGTGAGTGTGTCATTGGAAGTCAAGTGAGGAACCTCGCCTAAGCCCACTTACTCTGAGTCTTTTAAACTTTATTAGTTCACGATGATTGAATCATAATTTGTAATCGATTACAATGCGCTGAAAAAGCGAGAAATCCATCTTAACGATTGGAAAGATTAATTTTAGATTCCACTCAAACCGTCATGCAAATCCATTTTTAATCAAACAGGAAATTCGTTATTATTCGATATCCTGTTTAAAAATGTTTCATGAAAAGTCGAGACGATAAAAAAAAGAAAAATCTAATGATATTAATTAACTTTTGGACACTGGCAAGTGTTATGCTTGCCAAGCAAAGTAGCCAATAAGAAAAAAAGTGAATCGAGCTGGTGTCGAACATATATTGATGAATTGATAAAGCATAAGTCGAATAGAGGAAAGCTAATTACCTTTAACCTTTCATATCAGGCTGTTTGATTTTCGAATCCATAAAATTCTTTCCAGAATATTCAAATTAGTATTTTTAAGACTTACTTGGCCTAGAGGACTACTCATGTAAGCAACTCTTCCGTTGGATGCATTCTAGACTTTACTATTCTCGAAGATACATGACATATGAAAGGTTGTTGAATGGAGGAAATTCGGTACTTATCTCATTATTCACTTATTGAATGATACTGGTGAAATAGAATTAATAAGCAGTTTGATTATTGCATGAATGACTGAATGACTGAATAACATTTCGTTTCTTTTCTTTCCGTGACATGATAGAAACGGCTTTGACACCCTATGCTGATGGCACATTTTATGGATTTTCCATGTTGTGGTAAGTGTAGTTGATGAGTGACATTGTCAACTTTGACATCTATTCATTTTTCCATTATTGACATTTCTTTAAGGTATAAATTAAATGCAGATATGGATCAACTCTCCAATGCCACTAAATATTATTCAAAATTTCTACGTCAGCTAGAATGTGGTGGTGATCTGTACCCCGGACAAGGTTCTAGTTGTGTTTATAATGAGACACATAACGGTTCATGTTCGGCAGATTGCATCACAGGACTCGAAGATTCAGGTGCGTACTGTGGCTGCAGTGGTGAAAGAGGTCCACAATGTTCAGACAGCCCAAGACATGTTCGATGTTGCTTGGATACATGTTCACAAGAGCTCAAAATGGATTTGGGCTTTGTTCTTGATGCTAGCGGTAGTGTGCTTTTAGTGAATTATAGGCTCCAGCAACAGTTTACGAAAGATTTACTTCGTCGAGTGGACGTCGGATATCAGAAAACACATGTTGGTATCATAAACTATTCTAATGATGTCGAAGTCTTATCATGGCTGAATACAGACTATGAGCTCAATGAAAAACTTCGACGGATCGATAACGCGACATACTTTGACAGTGGGACGGATACTGCTAAAGCTCTAAAGCAAGCAAATATTGTTTTTTCGTATGAAAAGGGTCGGCGACAACCAGAAGAAGGTGCAACGCCAGTGATATTTGTAATCACCGATGGAGCAAGCAATAACCAATCGGCAACCATTCAAGCTGCCAGTGTTTTAAAAGAAAACGACATTATTTTGATAAGTGTTGGTGTAGGCTCGGGCCCGAGTTTAACAGAATTGCATGCAATTTGTACGCCACCAGCAAGTGAAAACTATTTTGCCATATCTAATTATCAAGCTCTTGACAAAAAACTGAATCAATTTACGTCTAGATCATGCTCAGAACCAGCTACTATTTCATCTAATACGACTATTACCATTGAAATATCTAAGGACAAATATAAATTTTTAAAAGTTGAAATCGTTAAGGTTGGTAACAAAATTTTGATTACTGCGACACTGTTCAACGGTGATATAAAATTGTTTTATTCATTTAAAACTCGAAACCCGAAAGATCCAGCTGAGTTTATTGATTATCAAGCAAGCACACGTGATTCTAATTTATCACTTTGGATGCGACTCAAATCTTACTTCCACCAATCATTTAAAGGAAGAAGCACGGCGAAAAATCGTCTCGTAACTTTAGTTATCGATAAACCGGATAGCGATGCTGATTTTGTCTATCTTGGCGTGAAAGGCGTCGAAAAAGATAACACATTTGAATTGAAATTTGAAGATTGTGACAATATCAATTGTAATTCAAATGCATCAATCATACAACGAAGTCTTTTGCTAATCGTTCTTTCTGGCTTCTTTCTTCGTTGAAAGACTTGTGAGAAAAGATTGCCTCTTTTGATTTTTCTCCACTATTCTTATCTTAAAGTAAATTGTCTTCGCTTCGAAGGAAATCTTTTGAACTGAACAAGAATGATGAATTCATGCGCCCGAATGAGACTCGATGCTAAGTGATCAACTTTCTTCTAAGATTCATCAGCAAACTTCAAATTAACTTCAAATTGCTATTCCGTATATGTGTTGCTACTATCCGCCTATTTTTTGGTGTGCCTGAAAGCGACGCATGTTTATCATCGTAACCTTTTGAACTCTTTCGCGATTACCGACGTCGCTATCACGTCATTGCTTTAGGAGGATGTGTTGGTATGATTATGGGTGAGGATATGGAGTGCGTGTAAATGTAGATGTGGCGTGCGCGTGAAGATGTGAAAATCTTGTCAATCGCACTTCGCGCCGATCATCACATCCATATGCGTCTTACAACCACGCCTATATCGCATACCTCACACCAATCCACATCCCTTCATGCTCACACTAACCTTTTGCTTTCAAAATAAACATATTAGATAATAGGAAAAAAAACAAGGGTGTGGGCATGGTTGTTTTCGTGCCACATACCTACACTCAGACTCATATTTTCTTGTTCGATGTGCTGAAAGTAAGTTGTATCTAGAATGAAAAATTTTATCTATTTTGTTACTGTCATATGAATACTACTTAGTTAACTATATTAGACGTCTCATTTTAATTCTTTTTATCTAAGAGAAACTTCGCAACTATTTATCTGCAAATGACTTATCCGTGACAAATTATGAAATAAAATAAGTACCAACAAATCGTTTCTGCTCATGAGCAGATCCATTATAGAATAATTTGATTTAAGTTCATAACTATTTTGATATTGAAATCATATGGACATTGAAGTAAAATTATAGACCATTCTCTTTTTTGTATCAGTTTATTCAGTATTTGATTTATAATGACATCATCTTTGAAAGAATTGAATGTATTACAAGTCAAAGAGATAAATACTTGACATTTCAAATTCGCATGTGATCATATGTGGAGAATAATTCTGAGTCGAGTTACATATACAAGTCGATTTGATATTCGATTGGTTATGTTCTTTTCTTTCCTATTGCCAAAATAGTGTGTTAATGTAAATAAAGATTAGAAAAATGTTTATCAAAACAGGACATCATTATGTGAAGAGTAGCATTTGGCGTTGAAACAAGGAGCTGCAGGCATAGTTGCTGTTCGCAATCGTGTTTTTACTTAACAATATTTCAATGTACAGCTATCATTGTGTATAGCTCGGAATCACAGAAGTATGATTGTTCATTGGGATTAGACAAGAAATAAAATTGAAGTTGATTGAATCTTTTCGATTTTATCAATTTTCGTAGAAAATTAGCTCAACATCAGAAAATACTATGTATAAATTCATAATTTTGTTTTTTCATTTGGTCAATATCATTATTCGCCTTCGAGAACAATTAGTATGTCGAGTTTTTGATTTCCGCCAAAACTGATCCTGATTAGAGTTTTTCCAAAATTCAAAACGAACCGAAAATAATTTTTTTTTGAACTGCATTACTGATACCGAAATCTATATAACTTTTGTTGTAACTCATTCGTCTTATTTCAAACGGTTGTCATCAAAAATTTTGCCGCTATCATAGAAGACTGCAATCATCAAGCAAAGACAATGCTGCATCTGCTTCATCTTGAAAAATTCTTTCTGATTGTGTAGTGTCATGAAGTTTTGGAAAAGCCTTTAATTATTAGTAATTAAATAAGAGAACTTTAGTAAAAGATTCACAGAACATTTATCTATTTGAAGATAATAAAACATCTGATGATCTTCTATTGAAGAAAAAGAGAGAGGGTGTGAGTGTTAGTGTCACCCACACCCACACCCAAAATATCAGTTTTGTTTTTGCTAGGAGATGACTTTTCAACATAATTCAAATAGAAAAAGAAATGAAAAAGTTTTACATACAGGGTGTCCCAAAAACATGTATATACTTTTCTGTTTGTTGATTTCTTCTTTATACATTAATAGATAGATCTCATATTTTGAGTATAGATACTAGGCAGTAGCAGTCAACTAACGTAAGTAGCATATCATTAGTATTGTACTGTAGTATTTTGTTGAAAACTAAACGAACGCACTTTGCCTACTTTTGTGTCATTGTATCGGGTTCTTCTTGTTGCAGTCAGTTCTTCATCTTTTGAATCAAAAATGACGAAACAAATGCGATTTCACTGATTGTTCCATTTCATTTCTCGTATAAGGAAGTTGATAAAATTGCATCAATTTCGTAATTTTTGGCTCAAAAGATAAAGAACTGAGTGTAACAAAAAGAACCCGATACAATAACACAAAAGTAGGCAAAGTGTGTTCGTTCATTTTTCAACAAAATACTACAGTACAATACTAATGATACGCTACTTACTTGACTGCTACTGCCTAGTATTTGTACTCAAAATATGAGATCTATCTATTAATGTATAAAGAAGAAATCGACAAACAGAAAAGTATATACATTTTTATAGGAGACCCTGTACTATTATGCAACTACACAAATTTCAACAACACAAAATTCTTTCTTACATGAACGTCATCAATCATCATCTCGACATTACAAAAAATTTAACAACAGAGCTGTCTTAAACACGAAAGGTAACTCAAATCAAGAAAAATTAAATATTATTTGTCATTGTTGCAATGAATATTTTTTATCTGGTAATTATTTACAAAAACATTTACGAGCACAATGTTATTCTGAATGAATTCGAAAACAAATACTCGAATCGACTGAATATATACAAAATTCTAAAGATTGTTTAGCAATTCAAGATATCTTACTGCGAAATAAAATATTATTTGATCCTATAACATCGATTATTAATATTCCTCCGCAATCGGCAATTAGAACTGGTAATCATCCAGCTATTTATTCGAAACAATATCCCGCTTCACATAAAGATCAAGACATTAAATTTCAAGAAACACAAAAATTATTAGAACGTGATCGATTCGAAGAATCAACTTCCACGTAGTCATCATCTGCTCTTCTTGTTAAGAAGAAAGACAAAAGTATGCGTTTTTGTATTGATTATCGGCGTTTAAATGCTATTACAATTAAAGATGCGTTTCCACTTCTTCGAATCGGCGAAATTTTTCCATCAATTATCTGATGCAATGTATTATACTAAATAGACTGTGCTTCCACAAGGAATGACCAGCGGATCCGCAACTTTCCGACGTGTCATTAATCATATATTAGAACCCGCAAGATGGAAGTATGCATTAACTTATATCGATAATGTAGTTATATATTTGACAACATTTGAGGAACATTTATTATATCTTGACGAAATTTGTAAAATATTAATAAATGCTCGTTTCCATCTTAATCCAGACAAATATGAAATTTCTCGAACTCAAACAAATTATCTTGAATACAATATAAAAAATGGCGAGATTCGTCCAAGTCCTCATAATATAAATGGTTTCTTAAATACTAGATTATCACAAGCTGCAGATGAAGCTTGAAAATTTGTTAAAGCAGCTGAATATTATAGGAAATTTATACTAAATTTGTCTCAAATCGTGGAACCACTTAGAAAATTAGTCCCAACTACACGAACTCAGCAAAATAAATGGCAAACAACTATTGTTACATTAACCATTGAAGAAATTAAAGCCTTCGAACAACTGAAAAATTTCTTGCAACTGATTTCGTATTGCGACTTCCAAATAATAGATTTCCTTTTAAAGTTTGTGCATTAGATAGATGGCATAAATATTTAAGTGAAATTAAATTTATACGGAAAACTGAACATAAAGCATTAACACAATTAAATCAAAAAGTTCAAATTAATAAACGACATGAAAGATGGAGATTAAAAGTTTCAGACTATGACTTCAATGTGAAATATATTCCAGGTTTAACAGATTCTATGCCTGATTATTCATCGAGCTCTCCAGTTGACGACGCAGAANTCGTAGATACGACTAGCTACGTATTTGGCTTTAACCTAATTATATCGACGAAGATTTCTAATCAAAAAATCTTTTTTTGCTTATGTCTGAGCATATAATATTTGTGAAAAATGTTTTCAAAAGATTTTGATTTACATTTACTGTGTAAAACTGTTTAAGTCTATCAATTGAAAAGTTTTACTTTAGAATATATATTTTTATCTAAATATATAGAACGGTTTGTGTAACCAATCATGGTTTTCTTATATAGAATTTAAATTAAAAAAAATATCTGAAAAAGTATCTTTTTTTTTAAATAGCTTTATTTTCGATAAATTTCTTGCTAGAAAAAGAAAAATTTTGGTTTCATGTTTAATAAAACGTTATATTTAAATAGGTATTTTTAAAAAAGAAAATCTTCATACGTGGAGAAGGTGCTGCTATCGGATCATTGATTAAGTTTCTATGCGCATATAAATGTACGCGAATGTGCCATCTTTTTTTCTTTTCTTTCATTACACATAAAGAGCTTTGATTATCTGAGAATATCAAATAATAAATAAAATATGGTGTGGGTGTACGTGTAGGTATTCTTAAAGAAAAATTAGCCCTCTTGCAACACATCCACACCCAGAACGTGAATTAAGAAAAAAAACAGGAAAAGAACGAAGAAAAAGAAACAAGAGTCACATAAAATATTAAGATATTTGTTAGAAATAAAAAATTTAAAGTGTACAAGATGTTTTGATATAAAGATTAAAACAATTTGGAACAGTGATTTTTTTTTCTACGTTGTCCCGAATCCCATTTGTCCCGTCCGGAAAATTTTTCGGAATAGGCCCAAGTGTCCTGCAGGACGGAACAAACGGGGTTTTTCAGTATCTCGGACTATTATCCATTTCAAAAAAAAAGACCCGTGGCCCTTTTTTGAATAACTTTTGATAGGAACCAGATAGAGACGTGCGGTTTTCGCCACTAGAAAGAGAAGACTGAGGCACATCAATATATGCTAAAATATGATTGGTTAGCAATGGACCAA